AGGAAGGAAGGAAGGAAGGAAGGAAGGAAGGAAGGAAGGAAGGAAGGAAGGAAGGAAGGAAGGAGTAAATAGCACAGAGTCCTCAAACCACAATATCATATTTATTTCCAAAAACACCAAGGAGGGCTGGAAACCAACAAGCCCAACACCAAACGTGGATGACTTACTGAAAAGCCGCAATGTTTAGGCTGATGACATTAGACCAAAAGGCCTGGATTCTCTCTTCTAAAAAAAAGATTTGCTCCAATGCTTTCTGTGTCGCTGCAGGTTGTCCATATGGCAATTCATTTCCAATCTGTAAAGGGGCAGAAAGAGAAAGATGTTAATGGTGTTTCATACCGTTTTGGAATAATTTTGGTTGTCGTTAGCCATCTTCCTTTTGAGGATTATGATGTAAAGAATGAGAATAGGGAAAAAACATTGTGGGATTACCATTCTCAGTTGCCTTTGCCATTGTAGCCCAGAAGCATCTAAAACTCCCTAAACCCATCTTGGGGCAAAACATAAAAAGCAGTTGACTAGGAGTGGAGAGCCATAAAAGGTCTGTACACTGTTATCTAATGAGGTCTTATCCAGTCTCCCATTTCCCTTCCATTTGCTCATCAACACATCACCTGCACAAAAATTCACACTCAAGCCTAGAGCTTCCTAAATTCCCAACTGAGCTTCTTCTGAATCCTGAATAAGCCAGGTGAGGGACCAGCCATGCATGTCTTGGCATGGACTTCCCAGCCTCGGGGCATCAGGGCATCATCTTGGCATTTGGGTAGGTGTCAACCTTAGAAACGAGCTACCTTTTTTGGACTGTCAGTCATACTAGGCCATGCTCCAAGTGCTATTCCTGTTTCACATCGTTTTTGGCTCTAGTCTCTGAACCCTCCAGTGCAAATCTTTGCACATTTGATATTTATATTCACTTGCCTGCCCCACCAGAATTGCAAGCTTGGGTTTTCAGTCCTCCTCCCCAGTGAAAGAAAAATGCTATACGTTTGCACACCTGGCCTCTTTTTTGTACCTCCAAACAGCAGCATGTTTTTAGGAAGAATCAAAGAAGGTTGCGTATTTCTGAGACAAGCTGGAGGAAACATCTCCATGTTGAGATCATGAAACAGTTTGTTGAAGGCAGCCGTTCAAAACCATACAAAAACATAGTGTGGAAAAACACAAGAAACCCCACTGACGTTCTCCCCCAAGCTACCTGTTCTGACATTCAACAGAACCAAGACCTGATATCCATCAGTGCCTATGTTTCCAGCTCACCAGACCTTCCTCCAAAAAACAACTCATTAAAAATGATAAATCATATAAGAGCCAAACTAAAAGAGAGAAAAGACACCAATCATTTGCTGCCTGAGACACCAATTACAGACCAGAAACAATTTTATTTTACAAGAGCATCATTGCACATATAATTTATACCTTGCCTAATTCAAGAGATACCCCAACACCCTTGCAAGAGTCCTTCATAGTCTCAGTTTGAATGACCCTCCCAAATTTTTATGAGCTCCTCTAATGATATGGATAGGATTTGGCTCTTTACCATGTTTCCTCTTCAAACTGGACATGGGCCACTGAAAAGGTTTATTTATTCATTGACGTATCACTGGTTGTTCTATTTTTTCCCCCTTCTGAATAAAGACTGAAATTTAAACCCTGGGATCTATTCAGCCCTAATGAAACATTCAGAGGCAGACCTACAGCTTCCACAACACGGAATAGAGTTCTTTTCATTTGGATCAGAAGTAAAGAAAAGGAGGCAGGGCATCATAAGCAGAGTGAAAAGATCTCCAGTATCTTCGGGGCTGCCAAGATAAAATATTCCATCAAAGTATTCTTAGTCCAGTCCATGACTCTCGGTTGAAGGTCATGAAGAGAAAGAGTACCTGCTAAACTTCATGAGACCATGAGCGCATCTGGCATGCAAAGAGCATGTGATGGGCATACTCATAAAATGGCCCATGGTAGGTTTGGCCAATCACAAAATATCCTTATAAAAGAAGGCAAACAATTGACTCAACTTCAGCCACAACCACCACTCTCCATTTCATTTTCTAAGAATAGATCTGGCAGCTTTGCCGTTCCAGGACCATTGCTGAAAATGCAAGCTAAGCTTGAGGCTGATGTGAAAAAAAGTTAGAGCAAGGAGTTTGGCAGGCACCAAGAAACATGTTGGTAGGTTCTTTGTGGCCTCCCAGGTACCACCCATGGTCACCTCCAATCTCAAATCAACATTTCAAATCTAAGGTACACCCTTTCCAAGGTTATGGTGAACAATCAACAGAGATGTTCCATCATGCCAACCTAATGGAAAGGAAACAGCTTCCATTCATCTTCAGGGAAACCTGTTCACTTTTTTTTTAGCACCTTCAGGAATGCTCAACATCTTTCAAGTCACATCAGTTCATGGCAGAGCCGGTACTGCCTTGCAGAGCATCTCCACTGAGCACTGAGGGATTTTCATGCCTGTGTGCATGGACTGGGATAAGGAGAGCATTGTTCAATTTGTGTTATGCTGAGTTCTGAACTCTACAGGCTCTAGTAGGCCTAAAGAGAAATGACATTGTTGGTCTCCCCACTCCCACCCCGAATTATTTGCAGTATTTCTCCAAGGGGCAAATACTTTATCTGAGTAGAAAATCAACACTGATATAAATCTTACAGGTATCCTTTTCTGAGTTTTGCACAGCCCAGCCAAATCATACCTTGATGACTCATATCCCCACCCTCCTACTTCAAGACCACAATCAAATTCTGACAATGGATGGATTACAGCCGTCATGGTTTCTTATAGTACTAGGTTTTGTAGCCACACACACACACACACACACACACACACACACACACACACACACACACACA